GGATCTGGGAAGGAGCAGACAGGAATGTTGGATCTGGGAAGGAGCTACAGGAATGTGGGATTTGGGAAGGAGCAGACAGGAATGTGGGATCTGGGAAGGAGCAGACAGGAATGTGGGATCTGGGAAGGATCAGAGAGGAATGTTGGATCTGGGAAGGAGCAGAGAGGAATGTTGGATCTGGGAAGGAGCAGAGCCTTTCCCAAACAATCCGTGTCCTTTCCTGCCACTCACCGGTTTCCCCTTCTGCCCCTGGAGGCCTCTGTCACCTTTGGCTCCCTTGATCCCGTTCTTCCCATCCTGTCCTGCTGCGCCCTGCCAGAAAGTTGGGAAAAATTCACTCCAGAGCCAGGGAAAAGGGATGAGGAGAGTCCAGGATGGAATCAGGACCCCTCAAGCCGAGGGCGGGAGTCCCCCAGGAGCAGCCCCAAGGCCTGAGGCTGGGATTTATTCCCATTCCTCACCCCAATTCCATGGGTTGTAAATCCCTGCCAAATGAATTCGGAATTCCAGCCAGGGAAACTGTGGCACCAAAAGGGTCGTTCCAGGCAAGGGGATTTGGATGGGGTTGGGAATGGGAACAGGGATTTAAGGAATGTCAGACCCCGGGGGGCTGCAGGTTTTTTTTTTGGAATTTTTTTGGCTTCTGGAGCCACATCCAGCACTGGGAGCTCATTTCATGGAATCTCCTATTGTTGTGGGAGCAAATAAAGCTGCTAAAATCCCTCCTTTTTTTTTTTTAATTTTTAAATTTTAATTTTTTTTCCCAAGGTTGTTTTAATCTCCTCATCCATCCCGGCCGATTTTGATGGCATTTCCCAGCACCTGGATGTGAAGGAAAAATTGGATTTATCCCCACTTGAGCCCCTCTGAGGGGAGAACGAATTGGCTGCTTGAGGAAATCCGGGGCTGAACAAGTGGAATTCTCTGCTGGGAATTTGTTTGCTGCGGTTGTTGGAAGGAAACAAATTCATTAAGTTAAAAACAAAAATCAGATTTGTCTGCCAGGGACTCCCTGGATCAGGGAAAATCCATGTTCCTCCATATTCCAGGCACAGCTATCTCTCTATTGGTAATTATTTATTGACACAAGCAACAGAAAATTCCATCTGGGGATGTAAATAAACCATAAAACCCCAGGGAAAATGGGAATATTTCTGTTTGCTGGGACAGATTGGAGGGTAATAAACCATTAGTGTGATGGTTAAATCCCACAAATCCGGGATACCTTCAAGTGCCTGGAGTTTTGAAGGAGCTGGGAGCTGGGATCAGACCAGGAATGGGTCAAAAAGCTTTTTTGGTGCACTAAAAAACCTGACATTAATTAGAATTCTCCTAATTAACTTTAATATTTCCCTTAAATATTCCAAATATCTCAAATGCCAGGTTTTCCATGAGATCCTTCTTATCCTTAGAGAATCCCAGCTGGGTTTAGGAAAAGTTAAGCTCACTTAAGGATATGCTGAAAGAAAGTTGGGTCTAAGCCTGGCCTACTTAATCCAGGCCACAGAAATAAAATTTAGAGCCAGGTTTAAACTCTCCATAAGTGGTTTCCTGCTTTTCCTGGGCTGGAGAGATTTTGGAATATGGATTGGAATATTTAAAATCATAAGGATGTGCTGGAAAGCTGGGTCTAAGCCTGGCCTACTTAGTCCAGGAAACATAAATAAGATTTAGAGCTGGGTTTTATCTCTCCCTTTCCTGCTTATCCTGGGCTGGAGAGATTTTGGAATATGGATTGGAAGGTTTAAAATCGGGATTGGACATGGCCTGAAAGGGAAGAAGTTCATGGAGGTGATGCTTTCCCAGGACGGGGAAAAGATGGGACAGGAGGAATTAAAAGAGGAAAAAAAAGGGGGGGAAAAAAAAAGAAATAAGGAAATGCAAAGAAGCCAAATGGAAATTTGTTCCCTCAGATTTCCATCCCGAAAAGATGGGACAGGAGGAATTAAAAGAGGAAAAAAAAGGGGGGAAAAAAAAAAAGAAATAAGGAAATGCAAAGAAGCCAAATGGAAATTTGTTCCCTCGGATTTCCATCCCGAAAAGATGGGACAGGAGGAATTAAAAGA